TATATCTATATCTATCTATATCTATATATATCTATATCTATATATCTATATCTATATCTATATCTATCTATATCTATATATATCTATATCTATATCTATATATATATATATTACTAGTTATGCCACACATTTGTGACGACTGGCAGTGAGTCTTTCACGTAACTGTGGATGAATTTGAGCCCACTCTCTTTCTTTAGTTTGAATTCAGCCACATTGCTGGGTTTATATGATTTCTTGATTCCACGTGACTGAGTGGCTGTCCTCGTCCTCAGTTTTCCAAAACATGTGAATCACAGTTAAAAGATGATTTTGGCAGATGGGAGGAAATTATGTAAGACAAAAATAATAAATACCTTTATATTACGTATGAAATGCTGTAATATAGTTCAAATCAAGACTTTTATTTTGTTAAAACGCAGTTTTAATCCAGGAAGTGTAAATCCTGTGCTGTTTGTGTTTACGGTACCGACAGTACTTAATATTAAGGGCTTTTCTATGTATAAACACTTCAGACTTTAAAAAACGAACTGTAAAGGTCAGAAAAACTGCTGTTTTCTGGCTGCCAACAGCTTTCTACGGTCTTGTAACCGGAAACAGTCTCAATTCCGGTTCCCGACGCGCCAAAAACGAAAAACAAGACGTGATGTTCCGCACGTCTGTTTACATCTGTAGTAACCACTCATCTTGACCGAGTGACGAGAGACTAGGTGGACATAAACACAACGGTAAAACAATTTAATTAACTCCTTAAACCTTAGTGACCTTTAGCATTATCTCACTTCAAAGTTAATGCGAGCTAACTTACAGTTACATTAGCTCTGTTTCACTGTTGTTCACTTAGACTGTCTACGTGAACAGTCTGTGCCTGTGGACAAATAGGTAGTACAGTAGATAGATTACAGTGGCTGAAGAAGTATTTACGAGTACTTTACAAGTACTCATACTTGGAAAATACAACATTACATGTAAAAAAGAACAAAAAACTTGACATTTCCGAAACAGATTTTTGACTTTTTAGAGTAAAATGACTCACATATCATGCAGATGTGCAGCAGGATATAATTGTTATTACTGTATAATATATTTGCCCATTTTTACATACTGCAAAGGCTCAGCTGCCAGATTTGAAGAAAAGTACACAAGCTGGTCACAGTTAGATCTGAAACACATCCCATTTGGATGTCATGAATATTATAATAAATATAAAAAAGCTATTTTATATTTTTTCCGCGGACACACACCCTTTCACTTGGGAGCTGAGTGTTCCAGGTCTTTATTGAATTGATAATCAGATAAAAGCAGCGCAAAAAAGGTCAGAGCCTGATAACAGTTAAAAAATATAAAAAATAGAAGGCACACAGTGGCAGAAGGTGTCTAATCTGACTTTGTCTTATGTCTTCGACAGATGTTTTTTTGAGGATGTTTTAAATTGTAATCGATCTGGAAAATACTGAGCAGAGAGAACGAGTCAAAACTGATACTCATGTTTTCAAATTTGTACTTCAGTACAGTAACTGAATATGTGGGCTGTGTCTCATCTTTACTTACTGTTACTGTTACTTACTTGGCTGCTGTACTTGGCAGGTTTGAGATGTGGTTAATGCAATCACTTTGTCACTTGTCCTATTCCTGTATTCCTGTGGGAGACACAGAAATCCCATTGGGGCTGCATGAGGACGGGCATAAAGGACATAAAACTTAAGCAAATCACACTACCTGCTGTGGCGACGCCTTGTAGCTTGTCAGCTTTTATATACCCAGCATGGAGTTGCCAGTTTATAAGTTCACAGGGTATAGGTTACAGTATTCTTAAACTGTATCTAATCAATATGCCATATGTAGTTTTTATTTCAGGTTGAAGAATGACAGGATAACTAAAGATCATTGAGTGAAACTGTCCTTGAGTGAGAATAACAGAGAATTTGCTAATTGGAGGTTAATACGGACTTGAAGATGAGTAAGTGGGGGGATCGACTGAAGAAAGTTGAGGAGCTCGCTCAGTCGTTCCAGAAAAATCCTCTGACGACACCTTACAAGCCTCGACTGTGGCCCTGCCAGCCTTCGTCTGTTTGGAAACTCTTCCCTCGTCAATCCATGGCTATCAGCTTCGCTCAGAGCTGCAAAGAGGTACACAAGACCTTCTACTTTAATGTTTCCATACTGTATGTGGAGGGGAAGTTGCTGAATTTTGTGCCTTTCATTCTCAAGGCTGTGCATGTTTTTGCACTTGAAAAAGAAAAGGAGTCCATGGGTCAAAGGATTTACCTGGTTACCAGTT